TTTTTTTTTTTTTTTTTTTTTTTTTTTTTTTTTTTTTTTTTTTTTTTTTTTTTTTTTTTTTTTTTTTTTTTTTTTTTTTTTTTTTTTTTTTTTTTTTTTTTTTTTTTTTTTTTTTTTTTTTTTTTTTTTTTTTTTTTTTTTTTTTTTTTTTTTTTTTTTTTTTTTTTTTTTTTTTTTTTTTTTTTTTTTTTTTTTTTTTTTTTTTTTTTTTTTTTTTCTTTTTTTTTTTTTTTTTTTTTTTTTTTTTTTTTTTTTTTTTTTTTTTTTTTTTTTTTTTTTTTTTTTTTTTTTTTTTTTTTTTTTTTTTTTTTTTTTTTTTTTTTTTTTTTTTTTTTTTTTTTTTTTTTTTTTTTTTTTTTTTTTTTTTTTTTTTTTTTTTTTTTTTTTTTTTTTTTTTTTTTTTTTTTTTTTTTTTTTTTTTTTTTTTTTTTTTTTTTTTTTTTTTTTTTTTTTTTTTTTTTTTTTTTTTTTTTTTTTTTTTTTTTTTTTTTTTTTTTTTTTTTTTTTTTTTTTTTTTTTTTTTTTTTTTTTTTTTTTTTTTTTTTTTTTTTTTTTTTTTTTTTTTTTTTTTTTTTTTTTTTTTTTTTTTTTTTTTTTTTTTTTTTTTTTTTTTTTTTTTTTTTTTTTTTTTTTTTTTTTTTTTTTTTTTTTTTTTTTCCTTTTTTTTTTTTTTTTTTTTTTTTTTTTTTTTTTTTTTTTTTTTTTTTTTTTTTTTTTTTTTTTTTTTTTTTTTTTTTTTTTTTTTTTTTTTTTCCTTTTTTTTTTTTTTTTTTTTTTTTTTTTTTTTTTTTTTTTTTTTTTTTTTTTTTTTTTTTTTTTTTTTTTTTTTTTTTTTTTTTTTTTTTTTTTTTTTTTTTTTCCTTTTTTTTTTTTTTTTTTTTTTTTTTTTTTTTTTTTTTTTTTTTTTTTTTTTTTTTTCTTTTTTTTTTTTTTTTTTTTTTTTTTTTTTTTTTTTTTTTTTTTTTTTTTTTTTTTTTTTTTTTTTTTTTTTTTTTTTTTTTTTTTTTTTTTTTTTTTTTTTTTTTTTTTTTTTTTTTTTTTTTTTTTTTTTTTTTTTTTTTTTTTTTTTTTTTTTTTTTTTTTTTTTTTTTTTTTTTTTTTTTTTTTTTTTTTTTTTTTTTTTTTTTTTTTTTTTTTTTTTTTTTTTTTTTTTTTTTTTTTTTTTTTTTTTTTTTTTTTTTTTTTTTTTTTTTTTTTTTTTTTTTTTTTTTTTTTTTTTTTTTTTTTTTTTTTTTTTTTTTTTTTTTTTTTTTTTTTTTTTTTTTTTTTCCTTTTTTTTTTTTTTTTTTTTTTTTTTTTTTTTTTTTTTTTTTTTTTTTTTTTTTTTTTTTTTTTTTTTTTTTTTTTTTTTTTTTTTTTTTTTTTTTTTTTTTTTTTTTTTTTTTTTTTTTTTTTTTTTTTTTTTTTTTTTTTTTTTTTTTTTTTTTTTTTTTTTTTTTTTTTTTTTTTTTTTTTTTTTTTTTTTTTTTTTTTTTTTTTTTTTTTTTTTTTTTTTTTTTTTTTTTTTTTTTTTTTTTTTTTTTTTTTTTTTTTTTTTTTTTTTTTTTTTTTTTTTTTTTTTTTTTTTTTTTTTTTTTTTTTTTTTTTTTTTTTTTTTTTTTTTTTTTTTTTTTTTTTTTTTTTTTTTTTTTTTTTTTTTTTTTTTTTTTTTTTTTTTTTTTTTTTTTTTTTTTTTTTTTTTTTTTTTTTTTTTTTTTTTTTTTTTTTTTTTTTTTTTTTTTTTTTTTTTTTTTTTTTTTTTTTTTTTTTTTTTCTTTTTTTTTTTTTTTTTTTTTTTTTTTTTTTTTTTTTTTTTTTTTTTTTTTTTTTTTTTTTTTTTTTTTTTTTTTTTTTTTTTTTTTTTTTTTTTTTTTTTTTTTTTTTTTTTTTTTTTTTTTTTTTTTTTTTTCTTTTTTTTTTTTTTTTTTTTTTTTTTTTTTTTTTTTTTTTTTTTTTTTTTTTTTTTTTTTTTTTTTTTTTTTTTTTTTTTTTTTTTTTTTTTTTTTTTTTTTTTTTTTTTTTTTTTTTTTTTTTTTTTTTTTTTTTTTTTTTCTTTTTTTTTTTTTTTTTTTTTTTTTTTTTTTTTTTTTTTTTTTTTTTTTTTTTTTTTTTTTTTTTTTTTTTTTTTTTTTTTTTTTTTTTTTTTTTTTTTTTTTTTTTTTTTTTTTTTTTTTTTTTTTTTTTTTTTTTTTTTTTTTTTTTTTTTTTTTTTTTTTTTTTTTTTTTTTTTTTTTTTTTTTTTTTTTTTTTTTTTTTTTTTTTTTTTTTTTTTTTTTTTTTTTTTTTTTTTTTTTTTTTTTTTTTTTTTTTTTTTTTTTTTTTTTTTTTTTTTTTTTTTTTTTTTTTTTTTTTTTTTTTTTTTTTTTTTTTTTTTTTTTTTTTTTTTTTTTTTTTTTTTTTTTTTTTTTTTTTTTTTTTTTTTTTTTTTTTTTTTTTTTTTTTTTTTTTTTTTTTTTTTTTTTTTTTTTTTTTTTTTTTTTTTTTTTTTTTTTTTTTTTTTTTTTTTTTTTTTTTTTTTTTTTTTTTTTTTTTTTTTTTTTTTTTTTTTTTTTTTTTTTTTTTTTTTTTTTTTTTTTTTTTTTTTTTTTTTTTTTTTTTTTTTTTTTTTTTTTTTTTTTTTTTTTTTTTTTTTTTTTTTTTTTTTTTTTTTTTTTTTTTTTTTTTTTTTTTTTTTTTTTTTTTTTTTTTTTTTTTTTTTTTTTTTTTTTTTTTTTTTTTTTTTTTTTTTTTTTTTTTTTTTTTTTTTTTTTTTTTTTTTTTTTTTTTTTTTTTTTTTTTTTTTTTTTTTTTTTTTTTTTTTTTTTTTTTTTTTTTTTTTTTTTTTTTTTTTTTTTTTTTTTTTTTTTTTTTTTTTTTTTTTTTTTTTTTTTTTTTTTTTTTTTTTTTTTTTTTTTTTTTTTTTTTTTTTTTTTTTTTTTTTTTTTTTTTTTTTTTTTTTTTTTTTTTTTTTTTTTTTTTTTTTTTTTTTTTTTTTTTTTTTTTTTTTTTTTTTTTTTTTTTTTTCTTTTTTTTTTTTTTTTTTTTTTTTTTTTTTTTTTTTTTTTTTTTTTTTTTTTTTTTTTTTTTTTTTTTTTTTTTTTTTTTTTTTTTTTTTTTTTTTTTTTTTTTTTTTTTTTTTTTTTTTTTTTTTTTTTTTTTTTTTTTTTTTTTTTTTTTTTTTTTTTTTTTTTTTTTTTTTTTTTTTTTTTTTTTTTTTTTTTTTTTTTTTTTTTTTTTTTTTTTTTTTTTTTTTTTTTTTTTTTTTTTTTTTTTTTTTTTTTTTTTTTTTTTTTTTTTTTTTTTTTTTTTTTTTTTTTTTTTTTTTTTTTTTTTTTTTTTTTTTTTTTTTTTTTTTTTTTTTTTTTTTTTTTTTTTTTTTTTTTTTTTTTTTTTTTTTTTTTTTTTTTTTTTTTTTTTTTTTTTTTTTTTTTTTTTTTTTTTTTTTTTTTTTTTTTTTTTTTTTTTTTTTTTTTTTTTTTTTTTTTTTTTTTTTTTTTTTTTTTTTTTTCTTTTTTTTTTTTTTTTTTTTTTTTTTTTTTTTTTTTTTTTTTTTTTTTTTTTTTTTTTTTTTTTTTTTTTTTTTTTTTTTTTTTTTTTTTTTTTTTTTTTTTTTTTTTTTTTTTCTTTTTTTTTTTTTTTTTTTTTTTTTTTTTTTTTTTTTTTTTTTTTTTTTTTTTTTTTTTTTTTTTTTTTTTTTTTTTTTTTTTTTTTTTTTTTTTTTTTTTTTTTTTTTTTTTTTTTTTTTTTTTTTTTTTTTTTTTTTTTTTTTTTTTTTTTTTTTTTTTTTTTTTTTTTTTTTTTTTTCTTTTTTTTTTTTTTTTTTTTTTTTTTTTTTTTTTTTTTTTTTTTTTTTTTTTTTTTTTTTTTTTTTTTTTTTTTTTTTTTTTTTTTTTTTTTTTTTTTTTTTTTTTTTTTTTTTTTTTTTTTTTTTTTTTTTTTTTTTTTTTTTTTTTTTTTTTCTTTTTTTTTTTTTTTTTTTTTTTTTTTTTTTTTTTTTCTTTTTTTTCCCTCAGAGAATAGGTGCAGGAACTCACCATCAACCACTACCTAACAGTGGGAGGGTCCTAATGGAGCATTGTTAAATACCAATAGTGCATACTGCATACAAGGTGCAGGGTTCAGGAGTGCGCTGCCTACAAAGTGCAGGGTTCAGGAGCGCATATCTTACAGGCCAGTTTACAACCCCTCCTTCTAGTACAGTTTTAGATAAGTGGGGGGGGAGAGGGTGGATATTGGTGATAAGTGAAGCAGAGGGGGAAATTGGGGATTAGTGGGGGGGGCACTGGGGGTAAGGGGGGACACTGGGAATAAGAATAAGTGGGGGGAGAGGGGGGACACTGGGAATAAGTAGGGGGAGAGGGGGGACATTGGGGATAAGTGGGGTGGGGGGTGAGTGTAGTGTGCCCTATGTGACTGTACTGCACATGCTGAGTGTCTCATACCAGAGTGCACTTGGTCAGGAAAGATTCCAGGAGATGTCCATTACAGGTGGGGTACAGCAGATGAGCAGAGCTCTGAGCAGTATGCTGCAGGAATTGGAGGCAGATCAGTGTCCTGGCACTGACAGCCAATAGGAAGAAGTCAGGATAGTATGTATGCACTTCTTGTGGAAAGAGAAGCAAAACTCACACTGCTGGTTTTTCATTGCAGAAGATTATTAGTGCGGGCCGAGGACAGGCTAAACCGCACTGAAGAAAAATACCACTCCCCACCCTGTCCTCTGCTGTCATGGGCCGAGCAGTGGGGGTTTTGTGCTGCCGGACTAGCATCCAGGCTTTTCTGTCTTCAGCTTCTGCCAGCGCCGGAGTAGCCTGCAGGAGGGCTAACTAGACAAAACTTCTTGCTCGGCGCCCGGAACTGCATGTCCCGGGCGTCAGGAATTAAACATCATCCCTGTGTCTGTACTAAAGGAGCAGTTATTCTTTAACCATGTTGCTTGTCATGCTCAAATGATAGCTGTTATATCTTGACATACCATGTATATTTTCTTTTGTTCCAGAATGCCACACAGAAAATGAGATAAAAGCCAGAGATCCCATCAGATGCAGAGAATGTGGTTACAGAATAATGTACAAGAAAAGAACAAAACGATGTATCCTTTTTTTTTTTTTAAACATTATTTAAGAAAAAGGAGTACACATAACATTTGCAGAAAAACAGTGCACAAATTATTCAGGAAGAACAGAGCAACAAAAACATTAATTATGCAGGTTAGAAGGCATCCTTTGGCTTACTCGTCTCAGTGGAATCTGAGCTTCCATATACATCAAGTACAAACAAAATAAAAATATATTGCCATAGCTGTGGGGACACCCCAGCATAGCAGAAAGAGTAGATGCTGGGATAGAGAAGAGAGGAAGTCATGTGGTCATAGTCTGCAGCCCGGGGGGGCTCAGCTTTTCGAGGGAGAGGGGAGGGAAGGAAAAAAAAAAAAAGGGGAAAAAAGAAACCAGAATGATATGGAGGAAAGGGTAGGGGAAGAAAAGATGAAATGATAATAAGAGATCCATTGACAAGCATCACCTATAATCAAATTATGGTTTAAGATATTGTCTCATGCGGCTCCCTGTCAAAATGAGGGTGAAAAATGTAAATTGTCTGCTGTCCAAACAAAAGGTAATCAGGGACTCGCAGTGTTACATAGTTAGCCTGGCTGAAAAAAGACAAAAGTCCATCCAGTTCAACCACAAAAAAAAAAGTTATCCTACACCCACAGTTGATCCAGGGGAAGGCAAAAAAAGACTGCAACACATGATCCAATTTGCTCCTGCAGGGAAAAAATTCCTTCCTGATCCCCCGAGAGGCAATTTGATATTCTCTGGATCAACTTTACCTATAAATGTTAGTATCCAGTTATATTCTGTGTATCTAAGAAAGAATCCAGGCCTTTTTTAAAGCAATCCACTGAGCTGGCCAGAACCAACTCTTGAGGGAGTCTATTCCACATTTTCTCATCTCTTACTGTGAAGAAACCTTTCCGTGTTTGGAGATTAAATTTCTTTTCCTCCAGACGTAAAGAGTTGTATCTGGAAGAGTAGTTAGTCATTACAATGTATCCTTTTACTATGCTAAGTTCATCTGACAGCAAAGTTGATGGGAGCTGCATTCCTATTTTTTTTAGGCTAGTTGAGTCGTAATGGCCAACTCCCGGAAACTGGCTACTATGCTAGTTTGAGACAGCCTAGTTTAGTACCTGGCTTGTGCTGTTGTCAGCTTGTGTGAATGAAAGCACTTTTTTTTTTTTTTTTTTATTCTGCGGTCATTCACAACACAAGCTAACAGTTTTCACACTCTGTCCTGAATAACAGGCTGCAGTTCTGGACTCTGTAAACTAAAGAGGAGATAGGAGCAGACAGCACAGTAGAGGGATGTTCCTTATGGCAGCTTAGGAGGAGGGGGCGGGGGCTGTGTGGGCTCTGTGTGCACTTCCTGTCACCCCTCCCCCCCATTCTTCTGCGCTGTCACTCAGAGCTAGGACTCCATTGATCTAAGTTGCTGATATCACGGCAGGTGAGCAGGGTTAGCTGTCTGACACCACAGCTCAGCAGCCCTGCATGGATTTAAATGGGGCAATCGCTATAGGCACAGGATCCCCCAGGAGTTTAACCAGCTGTCTTTTCTTCTGGTGATAGGTCTTCTCTAAACATGTGTTGTGTGGGTAACAGTGGATGTACAAAGGCAATAGTTAACTTAATAACCATGGCAAAGGGTGGAAGAAAAAGTGAGCATTTGAGGGGGGAGTAGTCCTGCAAACTCAGAACTGAGAACGGGAGCCCAATGTAGATCGGTGAGAGAGCATGTTTTGGTGTAATGAGTTACATACTCAAGGTTTCAGTAATGTGCTGTCAAGCCACAGCAGCTTTTAGCCTTCTAATAGAGTTTCATACGTTGATGACAGCGGGGTTGGACATTGCCCTTGTGCCTTCCACCCGCACCAAAACACCCAGGGGGCATGAGGCCTAATGATTGTCCAAACTAGATATCACATCTGTAAGAAGAGTAGCTTTGGTGTAATTTAGAAATGTAAAACCTGGGTTTGTATTCTAAATTTTCCCTTAACTGCATCCTCAGTGGTTGTTTTTGATGCCCGTTAAATGGACGAATGGACAACTTGCATTGTGGATATAATTTTTTTTTTTTTCACTTTTTTTTGTGAAACTTTTTTCAGTATGCATTTGTAAGTTATAACAATTTGTAATAAAGATTTGAGGCCAGAAAATGTTTATGGTCATGTTGAATTTGTTGCGTTTCTTACTTTGTGTACATAATTCTCTAAATAAATTGCATTGTATCATGCACGAGGAAAGCAAAGTTGAAGTTGAGCTAAAAAACTGTCTAGTTATGGATAAAATGTGCATGGGTGTGATCTATCAGATATATAAACTCACCAGCCACTTTATTAGGTATGCCTGTTCAATTGCTTGGTAACACAAACTGCTAATCAGCCAATCACATGGCACAAACTCAAGTAAGGCAACTAGACATGGTGAAGATGACTTGCTGAGGTTCAAACCAAGTATCTGAATGGGGAAGAAAGGGGAATTAAGTGACTTTGAACGTGGCATGGTTATTGTATTTCAAAAACTTCTGATCTAATGGGATTTTCACGCACAACCATCTCTAGGGTTTACAGAGAATGGTCCGAAAAAAAATATCCAGTGAGTGGCAGTTGTGTGGAAGAAAATGCCTTGTTGATGTCAGAGGAGAATGGGCAGACTGGTTTAAGGTGATAGAAAGGCAACAGTAACTCAAATAACCACTCCTTACAATCAAGATATGCAGAATGCCATCTCTGAACGCACAACATGTCGAACCATGAAGCAGATGGGTTACAGCAGCAGAAGACCACACTGGGTGACACTCCTGTCAGCTAAGAACAGGAGAAGGGGGCTACAATTCGCACAGCCTCACCAAAATTGAACAATAAAAGATTGTTAAAAAACGTTGCCTGGTCTGATAAGTCTTGATTTCCCTAGAGATGGTTGTGTGTGAAAATCCCAGTAAATCAGCAGTTTTTGAAATACTCAGATCGTCTTGCATCAACAACCATGCCACATTCAAAGTCACTTAAATCCCCTTTCTTCCCCATTCTGATGCTTGGTTTGAACTTCAGCAAGTTGTCTTCACCATGTCTAGATGCCTAAATGCATTGAGTTACTGCCATGTGATTGGCTGATTAGCAATTTGTGTTACTAAGCAATTGAACAGGTGCACCTAATAAAGTGGCTGGTGAGTGTATTGCTGTGTACAAGTTTGGGAGGCTCACATCTACTTTTGGTCTTGGTGATTGTTGCCTGAAAAGAAAGTAAGGAAATCCTGGTTTCACTGGACCGGCATTAGGGAGGGGGGTCCCAGTTGGGACACAGAAAGCATTAGGTACCTGGGTGGTATTTACGGACAGCAGTAGATACCTAACTGAAGTTCTAACCCTTCCTCTCTCTATCCCAAATTGGAAAGAAACCCACAAATGGCTAAATAGTTTAAATACATATAGGTCTGTGTGTGAATTGTTTTACCTGCCAAGAAAGTGTTTGTTTTATTGTTTAACTGATCTTATGATCCAAGCACTGCTGCCAGATAGCATGGCTAGACCCTGGACCTATCTACAAACCATGCTGCAGTAGAGTAATACAACCTGGTATAGGACAGGTCCCAGCCTGTGAATGGGCAGTAAAGTAACATCATCTCTCTGCTCTCTCCTCTTGTTGGGAAGCTTTCAGTATTACAGCTAGGCCACATTTACGTGGAAGGCTCTAGTGGGTGGGCAATTCACACTTCTATGGACTTGCTTGGCCAGTGCTTGTCCATAGAAGTCCTAAGACAAAATTGGGGTCCCAATTTACTTGTCCTGATTAAAAAAATTTTTTTTAACCCAAAACCGTATTTATATCTGAGGAGATTTTGTTTTATCTCCTCCTTGCCTCCCTGTGATGAGTACCAATGGGGTGCTCATCAGGAAATAGGAGTGTTGTGCTCTTTTAATGCTCAGCAGAAGTGCATCTCTTGCGTGGAAAAAATGAGGCGTCGAGCCCCAGTGAGGAAAAAAAAAAAAAAATGTATTCCCTCAGGTTACCCTCACACATTGAAACACTTGGGTGTTCAGTACTAGTGCCTGCTGAGCAGTCAAATCAACCTCCAATGTGTGCTTTGTTAACCGCTTTCCCACCGCCCTATAGCAGATATACTGCTACAGGGCGGCAGGGGTGTGCAAAATCACGTGTATATATACGTGAGTTTGCATTTCTGGGTAGGGGCGCACACTCCCTACTCACGCTGCCATTTGCGGCCACGGCTGTCAACAACTGGGTCCCGGCCAGTGATTACTCACCGTCACCCGGTGATCGTGGAGCATTACCAATGGAGGGAGAAAAGTGTATGTAAACAATACAGTTCTCTCCCCTGTCAGCTCCTGCACACTGCTTTGCATGGCTCTGCAAAGCAGTGTGCTTACAGTTGAAAGCACTAACGCAGCTCATAAAACCGGACGCAGTTAACCCTTTGATCGCCCCTGATGTTAACCCCTTCCTGCCCAGTGCCATTAGTACAGTGTCAGTGCTTTTTATTAGCACTGATTACTGTATTGGTGCCACTGGGGATGTCAGTGACACCAAGTCAGTTCCCCCGCATTGTCAGAATGCCTGCCACAGTCCCGCTATAAGCCGCTGATTGCTGCCATTACAAAAAAAAATAATCCCAGTATATATACCACCATTTTTAAATGCTATAACTTTCACATAAACCAATTAATTTACACATATTGGGATTTTTTTTTTAGCAAAGACGTAGCAGAATACATTTTGGCCTACATTTATGTTGAAATTTGATTTTTTTTTTTTTAAATTTTTTTTTACTGGGCATGTTTAATAGCAAAAAGTCAAAATAGTTTTTTTCTCAAATTTTTTTTTTTTTTTTATACCGCAAAAAATAAAAACCGCCCAGGCGATCAAATACCACTGAAAGAAAGCTCTATTCGTGGGGGGAAAAAAAGGATGGAAATTTAATTTGGGTGCAGTGTTGTCTGTTAAAATAATGCAAAAAATAGCCTGGTCAGGAAGGGGGGTAAATCCTCTGGAGAGCAAGTGCTTAAGGGATAATTTCACACTGACAGGAAAAAAATCAATGAACTACCAGAACGCTCAACAGCACCGCAATCGTTCATTGAGAACTACAAGCCAACAGCTGCAAAGGATGTCTATACTTGTAGTTGATTCATTCACAGAAATCTGAATGAATAGTGCAGCTGTATTGGCGGAGCCCCACATGCCCACGCTCTTTTCAAAACATG